CAATCAATGCTCGCTTTATGATACTTTATTTATCAAAGCGTTTTTAAGCATTTGCGTGTACGTAACTGTAAGTGTAGTCATTTATTTAGAAAAATTTAAACATTAAATATATTCGGTGAAAAAAATTTTATTTTTTTTTTTCAGTGACTGAATATTGTTATGATAGAAACATTACACAAATTTTCGAATTTTGACAACTAAATATTACGAGAAATCTTTCTTAGTAAAGTTTATACTGCACTACAGAACACGTACTAGAAAATAATGTGACAATTAAAATGATATAAGATTTGCGCAAAAATGAATCTTTTGAACATTAATATTATAGATCTTAATGTAATGAATAATAATTTAGTTGTAATGTTGAATTATGTTAATTAATATTAGATATTAATATTACAACATGACCCATGTCTGTAAATAGTGAAATCATAGGACTTGTTGTAGTTGAAAACCTCATGTATGTACTACGCGTCACCTCAGCTACGAATAATAAACTTTTTTTATAATGAAGATCGTTACGAAAAAATGTTTTTTGTTGACTACATGAAACCAAATAAATTTAAGATATTATATTTTCATATAATTTAAAAAACTGACCTGAAACAATCCTAATATTCAAGAAATGAAAACATATAAAAGTTTTGAATTGTATACATCATTATGCTTATAGTATAATTTTTAATAAATAAATATATATATATACATATTCTTTATCCAATATTAGCAAAACTTATATTTAAATCTTATGTATGATTCAAATACTGTCACAGATTAGATATATAATTGATTCGAGATCTAATAAATGTTTTGTTCCATGTTTAGAGAACATAATTCCCTAGTAATTACTATTTTAGTAAATTTTTATTATTTTTAACGTTATTGATTCAAAATATATGAGATTGCAATATTATAATTAAAATAGTTGAAATATAAATTATAGAATAAAATTTTTTATAATTTTATATTATTAATATTATTAATAATCAAAAGGTCGGTATTTCAGAACATATAATATATTTTATAAGATATCATGTCTATTTTGTATTTTGTCTATGGTGAAAGTGAATGCTTCTGAATTAACTGAGTTTTAACCGATTTTATAATTTTCTTCTGTGTTCATAGATAGCGTTGTAAGTTTATTTCTGCAATGTCAGCACAAAATTTCAAACGTTCGATTGACTTTCGTCCAAGATATATTCTTCAGTTGATGAATCGTTGCCTTGAAGCGTACAAAGAAAATTGTAACAAATGTGTTATTTTTAACTTAAAAAACTTTCGAAAAACTAACGTGTTATTTACTGAAGAAAGCACATGCGCGGTAGTAGTTATAAATGGCCCTGCATGTTGGAACATGTTCGTGCTGAAAGATTAAATCAAATAATATTTCAAACGATAACAATAAAGTAAACGTTTTACCTTGATCAATACCGTACGCCAGTCAACGAACGCGCGACGAAGTATATATAACTGTTTGTAGCTTTTACTCGTTCTTCAGTTGGCAAAACGCTACTCACACAGTGTAACGCGGAAAATTTGGATGTCGGGTAGTGTTTCGAAACTATTGGACAACGTTATTCATTGAACAGACTTCGTGGTAACACCAAACGTTAGTTTACTGTGAGTACCATATTATTTAATTGTTTTAACATAATATTGATATTAATTTTAATTTTTTGTATTATATTCATAAAATTTAATACTTGTTATAAATTAAAAATAATGTTGCATTATATGTAATGTTACGAATTTAATATTTAATATATGTATTTTCAAAATAATTAAATTATCTAAATCATGAAGTGAATAACTAACCTAGTATACGATTGACACAATTTTCTCAATAGCGTTGGTATATAAATCTAATGTATCAATTATTTTATGTCAATGATTTCTTAACCCTTTCAATATTACGTAAATTATATGTTTAATAGATTTTATTGCATATACAATTAATTTACTTACAAAATTTATTTTTAAAATTATATTGCATATAATTTAGAAATGCATTACATAAAGTTAAATATATTATCTGTAACTATAAAAGTATATTGAAATTAATTATTATATTTCTTAATTATTTTGTTTTAATACAATTTCTTATTTGCAAGTATATATATTTTATGTTTATATGTTTAGTATTATATTTATTTTATATAAAATTTATATTAAGAATAAACAAAAGAGAAAAACATGATTTAAGTCTATTAACCCTTATTTAAACGATAATTGAAAATGTCAAATATAATAATTTATTGCTTTGAGAAAAACAATAAATATGATATTTATGTCCAACAAATATTTCGATATAATTTCCTAACATTTTCATAGTAGTTTCATAGTAGTTTAAAATTACGAAAAATCATTATAAAGCGCATAAATTATAATAGTATTACCAGGAAGAAAGTTAGATACTTTGTACATATTTTGAAAATATTTAAAAAATTAATTCTTAAATGGTTTTTGTTCCTTTTTTATTTTGCTATTATTTTGCAATTTAATTTAAAATTGTATTATGTACAAACAAAAGAATTTTTCAAGAACAAGCTTTTCATATAATTAATTATAATCAAAAATTTTAAATTAATTATGTAATATTATCATCTATTCTGCTTGCATGCTCGAATGAATACAAAGGACAAAGAAAAAAGAGAAATTGAATTGCTTAGTTGAAGTATTCATTCTATCTCTTAATATCCTTGAAACTTCTACATATGGAGTTTAAAGATATTTCTTATTTATGTTCATACATATTTTGTTAATCAAATGAGTCTGATATTAATACATTTATATACATATTTTTCTATAAAAAAAATTATAAATTCTATATTATATATATTAATATATATTATATATATTAATTTTTTAAAAAAAATAATTGTTCTTGAATTCAATATTTTTTTCTGCATACATAAATATACATACTCTATTTCTTTTCTGCTATTTGTTGTATTTAATTTTTATGCAATTTTTTTCAGTAAATAATCAATAATAGTATATATTTATGATTACTTTTATTTTATGCAATTTTAATATTTATATTTAAAACATAAAATGCACTATATAACAGAATAATTATTTATTAACGTTAATAATAAAAGAAAATGAATACAAAATATGATAATATACAAGAAATTAAAAAAAAAAACTGATCATATATATAGTTATGACTCAGTAAGCATGTAATATTGTTTTACGATAACGTACTTTGCAATAGTGACTCAATTTAATAAAAAAACAATGTATTGATATTTTAAGTAATTTAAATATGGTATAATTTTTATTGATTTTTTAAAATTGAAATTGATCTCAGATTCAGACAGGTTCTTAAATCTGATCACAGATTAAATGTTTTCGCACACTGTTATAATCTAATAATGGAGATAGCATACCAATTTGGATGTTCCGAGATTATTTGGTAACGGTACACGAAGTACGTTTTCTTTTTCTATTCTTAAGAAAGACAATCACTTTAAATGATTTCTTATTGGATTATTGACATGAAAATTTTTATTATTTCACAAAGAATAAACATTTGAATTTTAAATTATTTATTGATTAAATTTTTTAATTTAAAAATTAAAAATTTATATTATTTATAAAACGTTATGTATATCATTTTTTTGTTTTAGAAAATTTTTTCGCTTCATAAATAATAATTGTTAACATAATTACACAAACATTATTGTTAGTACAGACAATGTAGATAATAATATATCTTTGCATTTACTTAGAAAATCAGAAGAAAGAAAAATAATTGTAGAGATAACACAAAGTAGCAGCGTTTATATAACAGCAATATCTATTTTATATATCAATTATTTAAAAAAAAAATTTTTTAAAAAATAAGAAATTGAATTTGTTTGATGAAATTGTACATACTTATATCATACACAATTTTAAGAAAAAAAATATTACAAAATATTAAAATAAAATATTATAAAAAGCTTTATTATTGAGGATAAAAATGTTATATTTTTTTCTTAAAAGAGAAAGAAAAATTTTTTTTATTTGAAATTCTTTATCAATTTTCTTTAATTATAATAATCTAACTATTTTTAAGATGGATTATTTATTTTTGTTTATAAATTAATTTTTTTTATATGTATTATGTATATATTTATCTATCTTCTTACCAGTTCACTTCTATGCAATTTTCTATGTCGTAACTTTATAAATTGCAGTTCCCTTTCACGTAGAGACATCAAGTAAAACATTATGAAATGATTACAAGGAAATAATTTGTTTTACTAATCAAATTGTTGGTCAGCTAAGGGAAAAGATATTAGGATTGGTAGAATTTTTGCAAAAATAACTAATATTTATTTATATTGAAGAAAAATTCGCAATAGATAATAGATCTATACCTAAGGATTAATTTACAGCAGGATTAATTAAGATCATTATTTTAAAAATATTTTGTATTTTTATTGATTTTCTATTGTATTTAATAATTGTTTTGAAGCAATATCTTATATAATATCTCATATAAGTCATCAAATACTTTTGGAACAATTATTAGTGTAATTTTTACATTATATGGTTTGTAAATTAGTAAAATACTTAATATAATTAATTAAGGCAATCGTGATATAAATTTAAAAGACGATTTATTAATATAATCGGTTGAAT